ACTATGCTACCAGAGCTCCTCAAGGAAAGCAGAGGTATTGAAAAAAATACAGATGCTCACTTACATCAACTGTGTTTACATGTTACTGGGAACATGAGTTATCTAATCTAGCTGGCAGTGGGATCATCTTACCTTTGCCCTACTCTTTCAATATTTAAAGCACATTTGCATCCATTGTTTTATTTCATCTTCTCTGCATGCTTTGTCTCTTTCCAAGAACCGTTATTATTCCCCATTTTATAGAGGCAGAGTGGTACTTAAAAGTACCTTACACCTTCCCCCCAAAAGCCGGCTCCTTTTGTCTTTCCTCCAGGAGCCCACTCAGCTAGTGCACAAAGTCTGCCCTTTTCTACAATTTAAAATATTCTGTCTCTCTCTCCTCCCTTTCTCTCCTACTTCTTTATAAACACTGTTTTGCAACTCAGCTCTCTCTCATTTAGATAAAGAATTTCAGCCAATAATTCACACTAAGGCAGTCTCCCCTTCCAAAGATCTTGCACTCGACTTAGATTCAGGAAAATAAACAAAAGAAACTAAATCTAACTCTAGAAATTTCCAAATTCCAGTAGTAGACAAATCATCTGCTGCCCACCCCCAGCCCACCCCCACCACCTCTGTCTATGCGAGTCAGCCTTAAGAATACTTTTACAGCCATCTTCCTTTTTATATTATTCAGATTCTCAAAAGTCAGGGTCATAAACAAGAGTGAGGAAAACTGATCCTGAATGATAGAGAGAGGGAATTATCTTTTTCTGTAGTCAGTGGCTAAGGCATTTGACGGCTAACCAGAAGGCTGGCACTTCAAACTCACCATACACTCCTTGGAAGGAAGTTTGGGCAATCTACTTTCGTAGTGATACCACCTCGGAAATCCAAGGAAGGGTTGCTATGAGTCGAAATCGACTCCACAGCAGTGAGTTTGGTTTGGTTTGGTTTGGTGGTTAATAACATCAACATAATCCTGTTCTAACCCTCCTTACTTTCCACTTTTGTTTCTTTACTTTTAGCCCAAAACAGCAAGCCAAGATGGCAGAGTATTGCCGACTGATATTTGGGGATGCACTTCTCATGGAGCCACTGGAAAAATACCCAGTAAGCAATGTTGACATTTACCCCTGAAGGAACAAGCATATTATTTACAACTGGGGTAGT